TTTACGGGACCCCCCATTTGTTCGTGGGGTTTCGATCAGGGAGGCTGTGTTATTTTAGAAAAACTCCATGATGTTTTATCTGTTTTTGCCATAGAGTAGGTTTTCCTTTTTCTTCTACGTTAAAGTGTATTTCCTTATCATTTCCTTGTTCATACTTATTGTGCTTTCAATTGAATTTTCTGTTCATGCTATCAATTGAATTTTCTGTTCATGTCCATGCTCTTGAACTTCTACTTTTTTTTCTAATATTATAAGCCTTTATATGGGACTTCTGCTGTGCACTTGTTTGCGTTTAAAATTTTGAAGCTTCAATAATTTATGTGCTGAGAATTGCAGTTTGTCCATGCTGTTCAATGGTTGAATGACTGAAGCTTTTTAACTTGCATGTGGTTAATTTTTGACCTAAAGTAACTAGCCTGGGCTTGTAAATTATAAAAACTTGACCAACTAAGAACCTGTTTGAACCCATTCTAATCTAATAATGCATTTTAGAATAGTAAATATATGGAAAATGTGTGGTTAAAAAATAAGAAAAATTTTTGAGTTAGCATTTAATATTATTTTATTGAAGAATATGTGGATGAAAATAAGAGATAGAAAAATGTATTTTCGAAATATTGGGGATCAAACAAGGGCTAAATAAACCAATATTCACTCTAGCAACGAAAACAAAACATAATCCCTCAATTCATATCTAAGCAATTTTAACCTTGAGTTCAGTTTCCAGAAGTAAATTTTGCTCCAGAAGGTTATCAATTGAAAATTTGGCATTGGTTCTCTCTTTTTGGCAATCTGAAAAAGATAAAAATAAAATAAATTCTTGTGAAACATAATATTGTTGATAAGCTAAAGTATGCTTGTTCATTCATGTAATGAACTAGCTAATTATGTAGCATTGACAAAGTGTAATTAAAGACGCCCAACTGTAAATTAGAAAAAGCGTGGCATATGTTTTTAACGTCGATATTTTCCAATTATGAAGTTGGTACTTTTTTCTCTTTTCCGTAAACTTAACAAAATTTCAAATCCCAGTAAATTTATTTCACCTGGGATCCTTTTTCTTTTATAATGTTCCATTAAATGTAAAGGAATGGGAACCAATTGTGTTCTAATGGAGCTTCAAGAGAGAACACATCTTGTTATTTACTTCCAAGACAAAATATTACTGCATTTAGCTCTCATGTTGTACTTGAAGTAAAAGTTATTTATCACGTGCGATTTACTGCTCCCAGTTCCTTTTTGGGATGTGCATAAATAATATTGTCTATCCTAATTTATTATATAGTTTCTGACACAACCTTTAATGTACAAAGCAACAGACATAGGATTTTTGACAGTAGTTTAAGGCAGAAACAATTAAGTTATAGTGTTCCAAACAACATCCACGTTTTCATCTCACTAAATTCCATGTTGATTGAAATGAGAGTACACTACAACAAAAACAACCTTCTGCAATGTTCAAAAAATGTAGCCGAATACGTTTTGCGACATTCGGACGTATGTTGCAAACCTTGATGTTGCTCGTAGAATAGAAGGATACGACAATATTTTTCAAATGTTGCTAATAATTTTTTTGCAACGCTTTTTGAATGTTGTTAATAAACTTTTTGTAAAAAATTTTGTCCGTTGTCTATGCTCATATGATTATTTTTCTGTAGCATTTTTTCACCATTGCATAGCGAAACAAATTTATTCGTGCAACAATTTATGCAAATCAATAGAAATTACAAATTTTTGAATCCATACAAATATGACCCAGAACACATCAATAAAATAAAATTCAATAATTTCACCAAATAGGTCGATTTTAGTACAAAATAAAACTTCAGCGACTTTCCTGTCAACATTCTTATGCTAATATCTTTGATCTTACACCTTAATCCTTCGCTGAAATCACAAACACCAATATGCTTTTCTGCTCCCCAGGTTAAACAACAACCAATTCTCCAACATTGTGCTGTAGTGACTTGAGATAGATGTTCCACATACGATTAGTTTTAAATGATCAAACTGTAGGGTAATAGTAACAGAATTTTATCAGTCTATTAGAGACTATATATGAACAATGAAATTTCTTATCTTTATATATGTTTTTGAAATTTCTTTGAGTCACACATATGTGATAAACTTTACATTTAAATCGGGATAACTTTCTTGCAACTCATATCACTTCATGTTTAAAAGTTGTTCAATTAGTAAATTGATATTTATTCGTATTCAGAAAAATAAAAAAGAGAAGCCTCAGGAGGATCTCCGCTTTCTAGTCTCCAAAGAATAGTACATTGCAATTTGCATAATTTTCTTTCTCACTTGGATTCGCTCGAGGTCTTAAGCTTTCACATGTGTTGCTTTAAGATGCAAGTGTTTGAAGCTTCTTCTTTCTTATCCCTCTCTAAGTGCGGAGAAATAGATTCATCATTCCACTCCAATCGATTCAAGAATTCCCCGTTCAGGTATCTCGATTGAAATCCCCCCAAATGGCATTTTCCATAGAAATAGCATTCTTGCTTATTTTGATGATCCTCGATACAGAAGAAAGAGTTCGGGCATTACTAAATATGGGACTATAGAAATGCATTCAATCGTCAAAAAAGAGGATTTGATTGAGTATCGAGGAGTCACGGCTCCTCTCTTCTCAAGAATCCATACATCCCTTATCAGTGTATGGACAGCTATCTCTCGAGCACAGGTTTAGGTTCAGCCTCAATGGGAAAAGAAAATGGAGCACCTAACAACGCGTCTTCACAGATCAAAAAAATATAGATAGAGATTCGAGTCGTCATTAATCATTTGATATAGTATTCAATATATACGTTTATCCTTCATCTTTTCTGAAGTTTTGATTGAAAGATTCCTCTACCAACACAATCCGCTCCATTTGTTAGAACAGCTTCCATTGAGTCTCTGCACCTATCCTAATCAAAAGAGATGAATAAATTATGATTGTTGGTGGGAAGAACTTCACAAATATGATGTGCTGAAGAACTGGAAAATTTCTTTGCACTTTTCTTATTGATTACGGTGTGACATATTAGTTCGCTTGATGTTCTGTCACATAGTTGATCGTTGAATATATGAAATTATGAGAGGTCCAGAACTAAGAATTCGTCGGAATAATATAGCTTAATTGTAGGGCAATGCCGTGCATCACTAGCAGTAACGTATTGTTGCCTCGTATTAACTAATTAATTGCATTGAGGTGCAATATTGACGGTAACGTTACTGTTTTTGGGTATGTTTATGCATAATTACGGTGATATACTCTCTAATGATTTTATGCAACGTTCGGCCGCTGGATCTTGAATATCTAGATTTATGTTAATTGATATACAATCCTAGTGACATCTTATTAATTTGAGGAAAAAACAAGTTGATCATTCATTATCAATATTTTGTCCATAAAGAATTTAGCGCACATAAAGAAAGAGGATAATAAACTGTAATGAACATAGATAAGAGGTAAATGATAAGGATCTAGTGGAGACTTCGACCCTTGTCAAACTCAACATGAAAGCAGATTCCTTCCTCCATGTTATAGTTTGCATTGGCAGTAAGCGCAGTAAGGTTAGAAACTTGCTCCTCAAAAAAGTATGTTTTATCGCTAGACAATTTCATAAACTTGCAAAGTCTCCACCATTACTATCATAATCATCCCAACTAGAACTTGTCTTTACTGACTAACGGTCAAAATTTGCTTCTCTCAAAGAATGGAGGTTGCTTATTGTGGGAATAGTGTTCAATATGTACAATGAGATGTGATTTTGGTTTGAAAGTGATGGAAGCGATTAACCATGAGAAAAACAAGCAAAAACAAAATGAGAAGAAAAAAGACAGAGGCAAAAAATTGGCCTGGGCAATAAGTTCGGGGATGGCCCATCCATCATTCTTAAAACCAAAAGTAATTTTGGGAAACTGGGTGAGTACAAAATTTTAACTGTTGTAGATTTGAATTCTGTTGTTGTTTTGGATGTTCTCACATCCCCTTGGCTTGTTTTTGGCATTATTTCATGTATGCAGGTTGTAATACTATATATAACAATGATTTCGTGTTGGTAAACATATTCAAAACATCAAATTCTTTCATTAACTTCCAACTTAAAAGATCAAACCAATTTTCAATATTTATTCGAAAAGTTCATTTTCATGTGGACAAGTAACATAGCTTTGAACACTTAACGAAATGAATGTGCATGTGAACGTGTATGCGGGTGTCCATGTATACTTGAACAACATGATCTTAGTTTCACGTGCATGCGCGGAAAATGGTTGTGGTGCAATAAAGACGCACGTGAAATGTTTTCCTGTACAGGTTTGATCTTAAGCCAAGTGTTTTTAAGTGGCTCATATAACTTGCGTTTGATGAAAAATGTTCTCGCATTGCTCCTATGTTATAGTATCAAGGATATTGAGGTGCGCTATCGACACATTTGATTCTACGAGATGCATGTGTAATTAGTATGGGTATGTTTCTATCGTCAATTGGTGGACAAATTTGCGAAGGTACGACGAGACAGGTACTTGATATATATTGGGGATGAATCCTAAACATCATGATGTATGATGGCTGTTATAGTTATGATGTGCATCAACGTATAAATATAGTATGTATGAATAACTCGAACGATGATTTCGCGATAAGGATGTGTTTACTATATAATATAAATGCAGGGAAAAAAGTGCATAATAAAGATTAGTAGAAAGTATCTTTACCTGTTAAGTTTGTAGTTCCACAGGTCTCGCATTGTAATCCAAGCTCTTTCTTTCATTCATAAATAGGGCACCTTGATCAATCACCTTTCTGGACGTGGATCGATAAGTGAATTTTATTATCCAAGTCAATGACCTATAAATTTTGCATGGTGGTACACATGAAGGAAGATGTTTATTTACCTGTTTCAACAAATGTTTCTATCAATGTATTTTACGAGAAATTTATTTACTCATATAACACTATTACTAGCAAAATTGGATTAACTAAAATATAGGGGCCGAAGTGAACAAAATTGGAATGAGGGATACTATTTCGCAATTAGTAGAAAGTCGACTCCCTGAATATGTAATAAGCATTCTATATAATCTCCTGGATTCAGTAGCATACACATAGCGAGTTTAGGGAGTGAAGAGAGAAGAAAATCCACAGATCGACACAGGGGAGGAAATTCAGATATTCGACAATTGAGAACAAGGCCGAGAAAACACCGATGAAGGTATACTTCTTGTTTTATACATGATTATATGAATTGCAGCGTTAAAGAAATTCTTCTGTTGAATTTTGTACAGTAATTGATGTTTCCGAAGAAAGAGTCAGAATCTTGTTTCCCTTATTTTATATTTTTTTGGTGTGTTTATGGTCTTGCTTTAAAACCCAAAGGGATTTGTCTTGGTTTTAGTATATACAAAAGAATAAATTCAAATGTATAAGAAACAATTTATTTTTTATAGAGATTTTCCTATCAGCGTCTTGTTTATGTCTTAAAGTTAGTATATACAAATGTATGAATTCAGATGTACATGTGAAAAATTATTTTTTATAGACATTTCCAGTCAGCATCTTGTTTATTCTGGTTTTTCTTTGTGGGTTTACGAGTCTTGTTTCTAAACCTTAGTACATTTCTCTTGATATTTGACATATGTAAACATTTACATCCATCTGTGTATCAGAAAATCTACATGTAATTGCTTATTTCATTACTTATTTGACACTATCTGATTTCAGAAGAGATTTTTCTTGCAGTATTTTGTTTCGATTTCTTATTCTCTTGGCGGCTGTTTCTAAATAGTGGATACCATTTGATTTTCCAAACCCTTTCTGAAGCTGCAAGTTTTATGAATTCCCCCAAAAAATACGTATAGATTAATCAGTTCGATCATTTGTATATTATGGAAATTTTGCCTATTGTTTCAGCATTCAAAGGCGACTCGTATGGCAGCACCTCGCAGCTCTATTGATATTTGGAGTGTGCAATGTGAGGATTGCCTGAAGTGGAGGATAATACCAACCCAAGAAGAGTACGAGGAAATCAGAAGAAAAATAGTCGAAGATCCATTTGTCTGCAGTAAAAAATCCAACATCTCTTGCAACGATCCTGCCGATATGGAGTATGATAACTCACGTGTATGGGTCATTGACAAGCCAAATCTGCCCAAAACCCCTCCGGGATTCCATAGAGATTTGGTGCTAAGGAAAGATTTTTCAAAACTTGATTGTTACTATTTCGCTCCCAATGGGAGGAAATTTAGGGCAGGTACTGAAGTTGCATCATTTCTGAAAGAAAATCCAGAGTACAAGGATTTGTCTACCTCAGATTTCAGTTTCTCCGTCCCAAAGGTCATGATGAACACTGTACCTGTTGATGCTGTAAAGGTGGAATCCAGCGGTGGCAGTAAACGAAAATTTTCATTTGTAAAATGATTCAAGTTGCTGATTATTAGAAATTACCTTGTTATACTTTGGATTTGGACCGGTATTTCTTGATGTTGTTTGTTGTTGCGTATTTAATCTATCTGTCAAGTTGCGCTTTATCAGAATTAGTATAGCTTCTCTCCTGCTTGTTGATGTTACATATGCATTGAATGTAATCAAGTCTTTCCATGTAAGCAAATACTCTAACATATAGGAGGCAATGAAAAATGTCTGTATATCTAAATGGAAATATATTATAAAGTTGCCTTATGAAATTCAACATTAACAAGTTTGGCAAAGGGGATGGGGACAGGCTTGTTTTGTTTACATAAAAGACTAATGATTTATTCATGCATGTTCCGCGGTCAGGTTTCAAGTTTAGGTAACGATAGCATGTTGGTTCAGAAGGTTAAGAACCATCTCATCTCCAATGTGTGGAAAAGTAAAGACATGGTTTGGCATCTAGGTAGACCACGAATCCCAATGAACCATACAAAGCCTTAAAGTGCTACTTATTGGTGATGTTGTAGAAAACTACTTGAACTTTAGAAACCGTATTGAATTTCATCCAAAGCGCTGGAAAATTTAGGTGTTTTTCACAATATAGCCCTCTCCTTAGGATACCTAGTCTAAACTTAAGTGGTTCAAAATTTCCCTAAAAGGAAACCACAACCCTAGGTTAACTTAACCTAGCCTTTTCGTTTGAGAAAAATTCAATAATTTAGGCACTTAATTTCTCTAATGCAGCTAGGTGATGTTTTATAGTGAACTTAGGGGTGGCTGTATGTCGTATGGAACGCTTTAGATGTACTATGCTGATTATGGGAGCTATGTTGCTTACTTCACTAGTAATTTTTTAAGCATGAACCCCTTGTTTATGTTGTTTAAGGTAACCTTCAGGACTTCGAAGAACACATACGATTTAAGCCTCATTGCATATGTGACACCTAGGATTTCCTAAGTTGAGGTGGGTACCTAATATCTTCCTGCCATGAAATGTAGCCTTGACTCGAGAATATTGTTCTTTTTTCTTCTAGATTATTTTACTTCAGAATCATTACTTCTTAGTTAAGGATTCTTGCCCTGACATATATCAGATATGTTGATTTGAAGTCAAGTATCCTTGGTATAAGATCCTTACGATTTAAAGGCAGCATTAGATTTGGGCATTCACAGTATTCTTTCTATCAAAATTATATTTTTGTTGGTTAGTCTAAGAGCTCATTTATCTATTTTTTCCTCACAGCAACATTTTTAAAGTTTTTGGCATATAATAGTATTATCGATTCCACATTATTGTTTATTTACCCTTAATTAACTATGGAAATTATTGCTTTGGTGTTTATATCTTTGCGAAAAATTTAGATCCTGAAGGGAACAAGTTGTAGGTAACTTTGAATGGAGCATTTCACCTATTCTTAACTGAAACTTCTTCATTGCTTTGTGGATTTTGTTATTATGTTCGTGAGTTTTATGCAGCATTGAGGATATGAAGATAATAATACACTGCGTGATGAGGTTTGGTGCATGTTTTCAAGAATGGGATGTATATAAGTTTCTTAAAAGTGCTGTTTCTCGGTAAAGAAGGCATTGATAGAGAGCCACGCAAACGTTATGGACCTATCAACATGGCCTCTAGAAAGAGGTTTTTATGACTGATATCCACGTTCTTTGTGCAATTGCATTAACTACAACATAGCAATACTTATTTTTTTGGTGAAGGGATTCACAGATGTATTAATGGATAACGGAAAGTTTTTTGTCAAAATCAAAAGCATTTAGGTTATAAATTAAAAGTTTTCTTTGATAGTATTATTCTCTAAATAGAAAATTGAGAAGTTTTGAATAACCGGTAAACGGCAATAGTAACTCTAACTGTCTCTTTCATATTTTTCAAGATCCACCAACGATGTGGGGTAAAAAAAAAAAGTCAATATAAGTGATTTTAGCCCTTATAAAACGAAAACGATGCCGTACTTGACCCATACAACCCCTTAAGCTCACTATTTAGCAAATAAAATGGACCATTTTTTGGAAATTGAATGCAGTTACTAATTCATAATCTGACATGTACAGAATGAAAATTTCATTCTTGATTCTACAAGAAATTTTATGAAAGCCATTCATTTGCTTTTCTTTGATAGAAGCTCGATTATCAAGGGGTTAAGAAAGAAGAGGAAGACAGATTCAATTGGCCTCAACCTTTATTTATAGCAACTCTACTATTTTCTTTGCAGGTTACTTGGTTAAGTGTCTAGCATTTATTTGTATCTGCACTTGATTGTTCTTATTTTGCTCTTTAATTAACTTATTCACGTTTGTTTTGAGTATTCAAGTTATAATGCATGTCCCTCCTAATTAGCCTATTTTGTTGTTGTTCACCCATAAATGCACTTGTAATAGAACCACACGTGTTAAAGACAATTCTTTTTTCCATCTCTGAATACGTCTTTGGAGCCACTTTACGAGATAACTTGAAGAGAATGAACAAGTGATCAAGGTGCACATTTATTATTTTGCAATATCTTAGTATTTATGCTCAATTAGTTCCATGGCCCAATTTGCTTATTGCATGTTCAGAGGATTTCCGTTTGTCTACCGTAGTTAGAAAATATATGATGTTTTGTCTGTTTTTGCCATAGTAGGTTTTCCTCTTCCTTCAATGTTAAAATGTATTTCTCTGTCATTTACTTGTTCATGATTATTATGCTTTTAATTGAATTTTCTCTTCATCCCCATGCTCTTGAACTTCTACTTTCTTTTCTAATTGGAAAAAATCATGATATCATGGAATTCTTGACAGAATTCCTATCGATGTTGACGTGGCGGTAGATGATTGAATTGTTTTCTTTTCGCTCTTTATCTTCCAATCAATTTTCGCCATGTGTTGTCTGTCAAAATTTTCTATTAAATTTTTTTGTACTTGTAACATGATTGTCTCTAATATTGTACGGCTTCATATGGGACTTCTGCAATGCAAAGACCCACAACAAAAGTAGCTTTTTACGGCATTTACAGTATGCATATATGGAATGCCATAATAATTAATTACTTAAAGTATTTATGGCATGCATTTTGTGCACGTCGTAAAAGCTGACGTAACTATTTACAATGTGCGTTAATGTGTGCTGTAAAAAAAATATTACGGCGTACATATTACTCGCTATAAAAATGTAAGAGAAAAAATGAGGTTTTTACAGAATGCAATTGAGCACACCATAAAAATTTGAAAAAAAAAATGAGGTTCCTGTGGCATGCATTTGTGCACCCCGTAAAATTCAGAATTGTAGTTTTTCATGGCTGTTCGATAGTCGAATGATTGATGCTTTTAACTTGCATGTGGTTAATTTTTGATCTAAAGCAGTTAGCCAGCAAAGGATAATTTGGCCAGGTGGGCTTGTAAATTATAAAAACTTGAACAATTAAATAACCAGTCTGAATCAGTGTTCACTCTAGCAATGAAAACAAACATAATCCCTCAAATCATATGTAGGCAATTTTTAACCTTAAGTTTCAGTTTCAGTTTCTAGAAGTAAATTTGCTACAGCAGGTTGTCAATTAAAAACTTGGCATTACAACCTCTAGGATTTTTGCTCTTTTGGAATCTGGAAAATATAAAAATAGAATAAATTCATGTGCGAGATAATATTATCGAATAAACTACAGTATGCTAGTTCGTTCAAGGTAATGAACTAGCAAATTACGTAGCATTCACAAAGTGTATTTAAAGATGCCCTACCGTAAATTAGAAAAAGTGTAGCGTGTTTTTAGCATCAGTATTTTCCAGTAGTGAAGGTTGTACTTTTTTTCTCTTTAGCTATTTTGTAAACTTGATAAAATTTCAAATCCCAGGAAATTTATTTCAAATGTAATAATATGGGATCCTTTTTCTTTTACAATGTTCCATTACTTGTAGAGGAATGGGAATCCATTGTGTTCTAATGCAACTTCAAGAGAACACATCTTGAGATTTACTTCCAAGCAAACATATTACGGCATTTAGCTCTAATGTTATACTTGAAGTAAAAAATATTTATCAATTGCGATTTAATGCTGCTAGCTTATTTTTGAGATGTGCATTTTTTTTTTTTTTTTTTTTAGTTTTGTTTTTAATGTGCATTTTTTTTTTTTTTTTGAGATGTGCATGAATAATAGTGTTGTCTTCTAATTTATTATCTAGTTTCTAATACTACCATTAATCTACAAAGCAACTGATGTAGGATTTTTGGCCGTAGTTTAATGCAAAAAGAATTAAGTTAGATGTTGCAGATAATATCCATTTTTTCATATCTCACATAAAATTTCATGTCAATTCAAATGAGAGTGCTAAAATATAGATAGATGTATCATTTAACTTGTGTGACTTAGTTTTAGACCACAAATACCAAGAAGTGAACAATAAATTTTATCTAAGAATGGGCAACTTATCAAATTTGCATTTATACAACATTATCATGAAATGAGAATAAGTCAATTTGTACTCAAGTGGCTTCAAGTACTAAAACTTTATATTTGTTTTTGTAACTTCTTTGAGTCGCATATATGTGATGAAATTTTACATTTAAATAGGGAAAACTTTCTTGCAAATGTTCACAAGTTGTACCAATTAATAAATTGATAATTATTTGTAGGGAAGTGTTCCTCCTACACATGGATTTGACAAGTATTTTTGACAAATAATCATGACCTTTAATTTAAGCAAATCTAACGGTCAGTATGTATTTCACTATGGTCATAAAAGAGTTAGTTATGAACACTTGAAATCCATAAGATACTGACCATTAAATTTGCTTAAATTAAAGATCACGATTATTTGTCAAAAATACTTATCAAATCCATGTATGGAAGAAAGCTTCCCTTTTTTGTTTTTTGAAAGATAGAGAAGCTACTATAGGATCCCCTCTTTCTAGTCTTCAAAGAATATTACATTGCAATTTGAATCATTTTCTTGGACACTTGGACTACTTGAGGGTATGAGCTTTCACATGTGTTGCTTTAGGATGCAAGTATTTAAAGCTTTTGCTTTTTCTTATCCCTTTCAATACAATCAAAATCAAAAGAGATGAACAAATTATGATTGTTCGTGGGAAGAACTTCACAAATGAGGTTCTAAAGAACT